CTTCCATATACAGGGGATAATATTAGTGCCTTGCCCACAGAGTTATTGTGAGGATTCAAGAAACAATGCGTGCATGACCTAATTCATAGCAACCAATAATAGCTGTCATTATTAGTTTTATTATTATTGACAACTCGCACCTAACTGTGTATACACAGAGCAGCAGATGGCTGAGAACACCCACAGATGTCCACAGGACAACTAATGTGAGCTCTAGCTGCCAGGGCATCTAGGGCCTGGTTCACGATGCACCGGCGGGTCACCCCTCAGTCCATCAGAGCCAAGGCACTGCCAGTGGACAGAGAAGCCGGGTGACACGTGCGATGTTCGTCAAAGAACATTCTCCTTCCTAGGTTGTCCTTTTCTTCCTGACCGCTGCTGTCCCTCTGCTCTCGGGTTTCTTGCCTCGTTCTTTGAGGGGGTTTGGTCCAGATCCTCCTTCGGACACCAGGGCCGCTGGCTGAAAGCTGGGGGAGGTGCGTTTCAGCTTTGCAGAGACCAGGGCTTTTTGGCAGACTGCTCTTCTCAGAGCAGCTTCCCTCTCTGCGGAGGTTCTGCTAATGCTTCTAGGACACCCACTATGTGCCAGGCACTGTATTGGGCATGTAAACATTGTTTCTTATATTTAACTGTCCTATTAAACCCTCTTATGTAGGTTTCAAGATCCCCATTTAACAGAAGAGCTGGTTGAGTCACAGATTAGCGACCTGCCCGTGGGCACACATCAGAGGGCTGAGACACTGAGATGTAAACAAGATCTTTTGACCTCAAGCCCATCCTGTCACGTAGCTGGATGGCCTTCCCTCAGGATTATTAAGTGATTTATTGGAATAAATGACTTCTAGGGCCCTCTGATCTCAAGATCAATTTGATTCCTTTATCATTTATTTATCCATCCACCCATTTTCCCCAGTTGGATTGTAAGCACCTTGAGGGCAAGGACATGTTTCTGGCAAATAACCAATATAATGTTTGGGAACCATCTGCCCTTGCCTGATGGGTGCTGCCTGCTTTCCTGACACATAGAAAAGAGAGAAGAGAGGACCCACTGAGAAAAGGGTCACCCAGAAATTTCGATTCCAGGAATTTACCACCTAGACCTATAGAACATTATGTATGTATAATCTCGTAAATAGTCCCAAAGTATATGTTTGTACATGTATAGTAATGGAACTAAAAGATTTATACCAAACTTAGTGTGTCTTCTGTTGTGGGGAGGAGGGAACAGTACAGGGATTTTTTTTTTTTCTGTCTACTCTTGTATTGTTTAAATTTTTACAACGAGCAGCTATTACTTTTGTGTTTGAAAACAAAGATGTCGTTTGAAAGCAGGGCCAGCTATTATATAAGGACAGTAGGAGAGACCAGCCAGAAAATCTTGCCCCTTCCAGTTCCCCTGGATCGGGACCGGCCCTCAGGTCCCGCCCCTTGACAGAAGCGTCCAGGGAGGAGCGGGCGGTTTCCTCTCAGGTCCAGTTCCGCTGTTTCCCACTCACTATCGAGCCACTCATGCCCACGCATTTCTTCTGCCCAGCACTAGCCCAGACCTATCACCAATGTGTGCGCTCGTCAGTGGATGATTATAAATAAAAGCAGGGGAGCAGTGGCTGCCAGAATCGAAGACAGCTGGCAGAGCCATCTTTGACCACTTTCCTACTCTTTGAGTCATACCGATAAAACCCACCGTCCCCAGGGGAGAACAAGAAAGGTGATGAAATGACAGCCAGAACTGGAGGGGTGAGCTTGCCCGTCTCCGGCCTTCTGTTTCAGTGGCCAGAACTCACCAGCCAGCCACAGCGCTTCTGGTGAGGCTTCCTGTGTGAGTGGGGGCGGGGCGGGGGCAGCCGGGGGGGGGGGCGGGGGACAGTCATAGAGGGGGAACAGTCGTCACCTACTTATTAACCCCTATTCACAAAGGTGAGCCAGGTGCCTCCTAAATTCTCATCCCACCTAGAGACCCCCTTTTTCATTACAGCTTCCCCCGCCCCCACACACACTATAAAAGAAACTTCTCTGCAGAAATGTATTTACAAGAAACTGGTAACAGATCCCCTCAGACAAATGGGAGGAGGGTTGAAAGGACTTGCACGTGTCCCTGTGTATCCTTTCTGTATCTTTAAAGCACTTGGAAACATCTGGCAGGGGAGGGGGGAATGAACACTGAGAAAAGGAATAACATGTTCATGGAGAAAAAAATGTGGGAAAATTTTAAAAGTATAAAGAATAATGAACACCTCCCAGAGAGAAGCATCACTGCATGTCCGTGGTAGGTGTCTGCATTTCTGGAAGTGTGGAGGTAACACACAGACATAGGATAGGCGGGATCGCACTTGAGATGTAAGTCCGTACCCTTTTCCAGTTAACAGTGCACTCCATTAACGTTTCCCTGCCTTGTTAAAAATTATTTGTAAGCAATTTTAATGGATGTACCAGGATTTATTTAGTAATCGTCCTCCCCCTAAAATTAGACATTTTTTCCAGATTTTTATTGTTATAAAAATACACTGAACATCTCTGTGCATCTTTTTCCGTATTACTATTTGCTCCACAGCTGGCTTGCAAAGCTGAGTTGCGCACACAGAAATGGCTATGTTCTCTTGGCATAATGCCTTGTTTTCCAGGGCTCTTTCATCTGCATTATTTTGTTTGGGAATCAAAGGGAGTAAGGGTGTGATTAAGGACCAGGGCGAGGATGAGAAAAGTGAGGGCACCCAGTGCTGTACGCAGTCAGAAAAGGAGCCCGCACAGCGGCGCTGTTGGGGGGACTTCCTGGAGGTGGAAGGCCTGAGCTTCGCCTGTGGAGGACAAGCAGGGCGGGCAGGACAACCCTCGCAAGAACGTGGCACGCTCCTCAGGAGACCTGTAGATCCGAGTAGCTAGCAGGGTGTGGAAAGATCAAGCTGGCCATCGCCAAGCCTTGTGTTTAGGGAAAGGGTGGTCAGGCATCATGGACCACAGAGTTGGCACGGGGCCCGTAAGCAGTGCAGAGCCAATAGATGTCTGAGCTTGAGGTTATCTGCTGGACAGGACGTTTTAAGGTTAGCTCAGCTTCACTGTTGGATGGAAGGGTGTCAGGGAGGAGCCAGAAGTGGGTAAAACCTATGCTAATAGGATAGGTGTCAGATGATCGCCTTAAACATTTGGAGGGGCCTGTTGGCCACAGAGTTCCTGCACGTGTGGGCCTGGCCCACACGGACAGTCGCGGGTGGGAGTTGAAGAGCGGTCGTACATTTCATTTACCGGGCAGTTTGACCTATGGAATTGGCAGCGAGGCTGCGTTTTTGTGGACGCGGCAGTTTTCTTCTTGTAATCGATCTGTAAGATTTTAATGATTAATGCGCATTCACATTTCATAGCCTCCTTAATGGGAAATGCTTGTGCAGAAATCGCTCTCCTGGGAAGCAGGCCTCAAGCTGGCAAGTGAGGGGCTTTGAGATTCCTCGAGCTGAGTCTCGTCACAGTGCTCCCTCCTCCTCCCTGCGAGACCTGTGTCTGGGCCCCAGCGCCCAGTCCGTCTCTCCACCTGAGGGAAAGAACTAAACCTCCCAGATGCCTATCACTCGCGATATTGTCGGCCCGTAGGCCAGGGAGGTGGGGGAGATCCTGTCCCAATGGGAGGGTTTTCGTTTAATGCCACAGCACCCACCATTTGCCCCTACCCGGTAGGTTCCTCCGTCTGACACTCTGCCCCTGAATTATACCCCTTTCTCTCTCTCCTGAGAATTTAGCCCCTGGGGGTATGTCAGGACCAAGCACACTTCTATTTATCTGAACTCCGCCTGCAGCCTCGTCTCTGGCTTCCTCGTCTCTGGCTTCCTCACCTAAACTGCCCACCAGCAGCTTCGAGCTGTTTGTGGTTCCTACGTAGAACTCCCTTAACTTCGGCCGAAATACCTCTCTTCCTGAAAAACCCTCTCCTTTTTCTTGGGAAATTTTTGCTCACTGTGGAGACTGAGCACGGGCATCGCCTGCTGTGAGGAAGCTTGTCCCGGCACCCAGCAGGCTGGGCCAGATGTTTCCCCACGCGTTCCCACCGCACCTGCTGCGAGCCTGTGTCTGCACTTGCATTGCTATACTGTGCTGTAATTTTCTGACTGCCTGTCTCTTTCCCCTGGTACACGGTAAGCTCCCCAAGGGGCTGCATCTTCTTCCTCCACGTACCGCCAGGGCTCAGCACACAGCCCAGCACCCGGCAGCCGCAATGCGTGCTCGGACCCCCTGACGCCCAGACCTTACACATCCATGACGCCTCAGCCTGACCCCCATCTCTGGACTGCGAGGCTCTTTATTGGATGTTCATATAAGTGATTGTTGTATCTTTTTGTCTTAAGTATTTTGTCTGATATTAATAGTGCATGTTTTTGTATTGACCTGGATATCTCCTTCCATCTTTTATTTTCAACCTTTCTGTATAATTTTGTTTTGTCTCTTTTAGTCACCGTCTAGCTGGATCTTTTAAAATCCTATCTGATTGTCTGTTTTAATAGATGGGTTTAATCTAGTCATGTCTGTTATGATTAACGACACATTAATATTTCAACCTATCTCTGCCACCTTAACTGGCATTTCCTTTCATACTTACTGTCCTTTTTCTTTGCTTTTTTCTTCCTCTCCTTACCTTTTTTTTTTGGAGTGATCCAGTTTTCTGTTTTTCCTTCTTTACCTTTCTGGTTTGGAAACTCTGAATTGTATTTTTATTTACACAGCTACTCTTAAATTTTAACATATGTATATAACTATTTTTTTTTTAATGAAGTAGAAACATTTGAAATGTAATTGAAGACAAAGCTCTTATTCTTTATCTATGGAACAGTCCACTCTGCCCTTCTTCCTTATTTATATAGAACCCATTTTAAAACAGTTCAAACTAATTGTTTTACAAATTCAATTGTTAATTAAGTTGGCCAGCATATCATACTGATTCCTGTGCCTACCATTGTTTCTTCCATCCCAGTTCTTCTCTGCTTGTCAAAACACATCCTTTAGTAGTTCTTTCCTTCTTTTTTTTTTTTTTGACCTTTTTCTTGAATTTATTGGGATGACATTTTCGATGGTTCTTGCAATGAAGGTAGCGCCATCTTTCGTGGAACTCCTGTTCATATGTGTGTGATGTGTATGAGTTTCTTTTTAATTGTTTTAAGGAAATGAAATGATCTGTTAAACCTAATCAAGTTAAAAATCATAGCACCCCAGGAACATGTACTAGTATCAGTCAACTAAGAACCTGACCAATTTTTTGTTGATTCAGCCCTTACTGATGAACCCCTCATGTTTAGTTTTTGTGTGGCCACCGGCTAAGAAATTATCACCAACAGTGGGTAGATCCTGAGGGAAAAATGAGAGTAGTAGTATCCACATGAGGAGTAATACTGCTCAGTTCCTGGTTGTTACAGGTACCTCTGCTAACAAGCATTTATTCTAGAAAGGAACCGAGGATCCTTGAGTCCCAGAGAAAAGGGGCAGGTATGCCCTAGCTTTAGCCCTAACCCCTTGTTAGACACTCTGGTTGTATAATTGGGCTTCGTTTACTTCTGCAGGTAATTTATAGCTTCGAAACTTAGTTTCTTCATCTGTAAAATGGGAGTGATATTATACCAGCCTTGCAAGGTCCCTGTGAGGTTCATCAGTAATGTAGATAAAGCACCCAGCATGTGCCCGGCACATGGAAGACGTGCGATGACTAGTCGGATTGTTACTGTCCCGGGCTCTCAGCAGACACTTACTGAACACTTGCTGGATGAATGCAGGAGCCCACCATGAAAGGCTTCATCAACAAGATAGGTTATAAAGGATAGGTGAGGTCCAGACAGATGGTAATAAAGAGAGAAGGTGTTCTCTATGGGAGCAACAGGGAGAGCAGAGGACAGAATCTGAGGCCCGCCCATTGCTGCCCTGTGTGGACCAATGAAAGGAGCCGGCTGGCTACAACAGAAGCTGGGGGAGGGGCTTGGGAAGGGCGGCCGGGCAGAAAGGGGGCCAGAGCTGAGGTGCCTGGGGACGTCCGGGTCTGCCTGACCCTGTGACAGCTTTGCCAGACCAGCTCACTCTGCCTGGCACTGGCCCTTGGTTCCCCTTCCTGAACGGCCGCCTTGTTCTTGATAGGCAGAGACTGGCCCAATGTGGCCTAGTGGCCGGGCAAGCTGGAGCTTAAAAAGAGGAAGCATCAGAATAAGATTGGTTTTCAACTAATATCTTATTAAGGAAGTTGAGTCATTCTACTTCTGCTATTTGTCCCCTCTGGGCATTCAGAGAGGACAGATTTTACTTCCAGATGAAATAGTCATGAGAGGGATTTGCCCTGGTCTGCCCTGGCCCCTCAGTGGACATTTTCAAGATGACCTTGTAAGATGGAGATTTTTATCTCCTTTATATACAGGGAACCAAGGCTTAGCGTGCTGAATGGCTTGCGCAAGGCTCCACTCCTTGACTCTATGGCGCTGAAACAGAGAAGTCCCATAGTCTCAGTGGCGGCCTTTAGGGGCCTGGTGAAGGGTAAGGGAGTAAACTTCCATTTAGCATTTTCTATTGGCCAGGCAGAACAATCGGCATTTCTGCACTCTACCTCATTTAGTCCTCAAAATAACCCCGGAGATGCTAAGGGAAGAAACTGGGCGGCCTCCTGAGGCTTAGCGTGTGGGCTCCGGAGGCGGCGGCGTGGGCTCAGGGCCACCTCTGCCGCTGTGACGGTGAGCCAGTTCGGGTGGGCTGCTGGGCTTCTCTCAGTCTCAGTCTTCACATCTGAAAGTGAAAGTAATAATGGCAGGTGCTCAGTAAATATTGACAATTACCATTCTGAATTGGAGTCATCTGGCCCACAAATAATTGCCACAAATCAGTGGCATTTGGGGAACTAGGAGCCTCAAAAAGATTTCCTAGGCCTCTGGTTTGCAAAAACTGTTTTTCTTGGAAACCTAGGAGTCCACGGAGGACCTTGGAGGGCAAAGGGAAGCTAAGTGTGCATGACCCTTACCCACCTTCTTTAGCAGAGCAGCTGATTCTAACGTGAGTTACATATCAGTTGCGCGCTTCTAGCTCTTCTGGGTATTGGGGGTTGAGGAGTGACATCGTTGGCCAAAAATGGTCCCACTGCTTTTCTCTTTTTTAAGTTGCCGAAGCTAAAACCCTTACCTTCTGGTTCCTAGTCTGGTGTTTTTACCATGCTTACTGAAGCAGGGAAATGAAATATACATTTTGGAGAGGTTATCAACACTGAAGATAAAATTGAAAACATTATTTTTGTACCCTCCAGTTAATAAAAAATTTATTTATTTTTAATCTAAACCCCATTCCTGTCTCAGAATCCTAGGAACAGAAATTTTGCTGTTGAGAAAACATTGCTGCTGTAGCCTTAGACCAGAACTGCCTGGTAGAACATTCTACAGCGATGGACATGTTCTTTAACTGCACTGTCCAACACAGTAGCCAGGGTAACTGAGGAACTGATTCTTCAATTTTATTTCATTTTAACTGATTTAAGTGTAAATAGCTCCATGGGGCTAGTGGCTGCCATATTGGACAGTACAGCCTTACAGTATAGAGAGGGAGTGAAGTGACAGTTCCTGACCCCTTGGAACCAGAATCATCCAGAGAACTTGTCAGAAGAACAGGTTCTGGGCCTAACGCCCAGTGACTGATTCAGTACGTCTAGGGCAAGTGCATGTTAAGAGCTCATCTGGTTCTTCCAACTTGGAGCCGGGTTGGAAAATTGCTGCCTTAGCTGCCTGCTGCTTCCCTGGGCAGGAGAGCAGAGCCAGTGTCAGGCGCTTGACCCTGGCCTTGATCTCTTGGGGAAATACAGCAGCCTTCAGGGGAGTGTCAGACCCTTGGAGAATGTGATAGAAGCTATGGACTTCTTCCCTGGAAAAAAACTTCAAACTCTGTAGAGTTTCTGGGGTTCACAGACCACCCTGAAGCCACCCTTGAACCCACATTGGGAACTATGCGTCTTGGACAGAAGACGTTACCACCCGGTAAGGGAGCCAAGTTTGAGTCTCGGGGTCCAGGAGCCTTGTCCACAGCAAGCCTGTTATACACATCTGCCCAAGGGGTGGCCTGAGTCCATCCCAGTCTTTCTGACCCCCAGACTCCCCCAGGGGCCCATTGAGGTGGCACAGAAGACAGGCCCTGTACACACATCGGGCCCTCAAAGAATACTGAATGAACGCCACCCCTTTCCCTTCTACTTTTGTTTTCACGGCCTTGTGATTGAGCTGAGTGGATTTGGCGATTGCTGCCACTCACCTACGTCCTCAGCTGTGAGAGAACAGGGGCCCGAATGCGTTCGAGGCATGCGTGGAGCTGGGGAGAGAGTCCAGGCCGAGTGATGGATTGGGATTTTAACCTGCCTTCAAGGGCAGAGACACAGCTGGCTCCCGCTTACCCTCACTGTCCGTGAGCTGCAGGAGAGACAAGAGGTGGCAGGGCTACGGGGCTGTGAGCTGCGCTGACAGGCCAGGGGCCAAAACCCAGGGCCGGGAAGGCCCGGGCCAGCAGCCCCACGTGTAATGCAGAACTTGGAAGGAGGGAAGGGTAGGGGGCGGGAGAGCGAGAGAGAGAGTGAGAGAGAGAGAGAGAGAGCGCGCGAGAGAGAGAGAGAGAGAGAGAGAGAGAGAGAGAGAGAGAGAGAGAGAGAGTGTAAAAGAGCTGCCGTGAGGCTGAAGTGGCCCGAGAATAGCCTCTTGAACTTGGTGTCTGTCAGTGAGGGCCTGAGTCATGGTCATGTGGCCCAGGAAAGCCAGCCACAGGAAAAGTCTGCAGTTCCCAGGCAATGATTTCGTGCCCCTGGGAGGTGAGGGTCAGCCTTTTTTCCCTGTGCCCTTCACAGATTGAGCTGCCAGCTGCTGGGTTAGCTTTTCAACGGCCTTCTTGTTCCTCTCTCGGCCTACCAGGCTGCAGCGTGAGTCACCATGTGGGGGACTAAGTGCAAAGGCCCTGAGCTCAGCTGCCTCCTCCTCAGCTTCCCCGGGGCAGGGGAGCTGCTGTGCTCGTGGACGGAGGCGGGGGGTGGTCGGGGACCCTGGCCAGTGACCCGCCTAACCGCCGAGGTGAAAGTGGGTTGCTGGGGGCAAGAGGGTCCCCCACAGTCCCTCCAGCGGAGCTCTAGCTCAGGGGGAGCCATGTCCAGCAGAGGCAGGCTACGGGGGCCCCGGCACAGCCAGACCTTGAACGGCTGGGTGCCCTGGGAACAGCCATCGACCATGTGGCCTCGTTTCCCTCCCTCGTCATATGGAACTCTCTTCGTCCCCCACGCGCAGGGTCATCCTGTCCTGAAGCTCGTCCTTTGAGTCCCTCATTCAGCCAACGTCAGTTGTCTCGCCTGTGCCTCGCTGCGCCCCCAGGAGCCCTGGGACCAGGGAGGACTCTAGTCCCTACCGCCCCCGCCGGTGTTTGCCTGAAACCAGAAGACGTGGGGAACAGGCAGCACAGCCAAGAGCTTGGGTTCTAGGTCCTGACCCTGCCCCGCCACACGCCATCTGGGTGACCTTGGGCAAGTTGCTGACAAATTTAGCCAGTTTCTTAAAGTGAAAATGAGGGGGTTAAAGTAGTGTGGAGGCCCCTGGAAGCAGACCTCTGAGACTGTTAGGTTGGGAGGTGTGAGTTGGTTTTTAAGATCTCAATTCCCCTGGTCAAGAATCTGGGAAAGGTAGGAGGCACTGTACCCAATCCCTCTTTGGAAGTGGCAGGGGCTGAGGAGGTGCGGGCTGGGAAGGAAGGATGGTCACACGGAAAACAGCCTGCCTTGGAGGGCTGTTGCCTAATTGAAGTCAGGACACTCCCCAGACTTCTTAAGGCCCTCAAGTAACAATGAGGTCACCCATTCAGCCTCCTCAGCATCTCGCCTTCAGGACCAAACCCAGGCTTTCGTGCTGAGAGCCGGAACCACTCCGAGTTCAAAGCTAGGAGGCCCTTGAAGGCACAGAGGCAAGGATCCAATTAGTAGGGACCAACACACCCATGGCCCTCACCCCCCCGAGTCAGACTGGCTCAGTCCTCCGTAGCCGTTGGGGTGAGGCCGAGTCGGAAGGAAGGTTCAGCCTAATGTGCCCCAGCTTCCCACTGTCTCGTTTAAGCTCGATAGGGCCAGAGGCCAGAGGCATCAGAGGCTGGGTCTCATCCACATGGTCCGCCTTCCTGCCCCAGGAGCAAGCGGAGGCGTGATCTGTGATTCAGGATGCGTGGGGCTCCAGCAGGGGAGGCTGCATCTGTTAGTGACAGCTCTAAGACAGACTGCCACCAGCCAGCACTTTTTTAAAATCATTGCCTGAGATACAGCCATTGATCTTAGAAAGAGAAGAAGAGGGAAAGAGAGAGAAACATCTATCGGTTTCCTCCGGTACACACCCCAACCCGGGACCCCGGGGTCCAAACCCGCAACCTAGCTATGTGCCCTGACCGGGAATCGAACCTGTGACGTTTGGTACATGAAACAATGCTCCAACCAACTGAGCCGTACCAGCCAGGGCCGGAGAGCATGCATTAAAGTCCTGTTTGCCTTTGGTGCCTTCTCAGGGTTTTGGGAGTTCACAGTCTCAGTCTGTGCAAAGGCTCCCAAATGGTCACGATCTCGGGTTGGTACTGTTCTGTTCGTGGCAGTCCTAGCCACACGCTGTTTGCACAGACTGTTGCCCCACTGGGCTCACCTGCAGCTTCCTGGTGACACACGGGGCTGGTGGAGACGGAGCCCAGGGAGAGGTGAATTCTCGTGCTTTGTCCTCATATTTCTAGAGGTGCAGGTTGGCGACAGAGGTTCTAATATGAATTCCACTACTATTGTTGCCTGAAAGAAAAATGATACCTAGGAGAGGTTATCAGCAAATGAGACTAGATAGCACAGAAGAAGCATGACCCTTCTGGACAGATCCTTCTGCAGAGCCACAAACAGATGCTTCCTGGGACAGGAGCCGAGTGCTGGCGCTGCCATTTGTGTGTTGATTTTTAGACTTGATTAGATTTCATATATGTATACATGCAAACACATGCACACACATATACATACATCGATCTATCTCCTGCAAGGGAACAAAACCTTTATTTTCTCCTGTTGGAGCAAAGCCATTGTGGACGGTGTAGACATGTCCTCTAAGAAGGCAAGGCTGCAGCAGTCAGTGCTGTGACTAATGGCTCTGGAATACAGGATCCACCGCCCTCCTCTGGGGAAGCAAACTTAGCCATAAAACAAACAACAGGAGATTCAGCCATTGTTTATAAAGGCAAGAAAGAGCCAACCCAGATGTGAGGGCCAGGGCTGCCTGGAGTTCGTGGCCTGGGAGCCTCCTTGGTGGCAGCATGAAGGGGGCCTGTTGGTGGTGGGTGCTGGTCGGACTAGGCTCACAGCTCATGGGACCAGTGTACCATGAGAGAAACATAAAGCAGTGTGGAGGCCCCAGGAAGCAGACCACCTGTAGCTGTACTGAGGGCTGGACTTCCTTGCCTTTGGGACATTTGGAGGATAGATACAAGTGGCGTAAAGAGACCATGTCCCCCCACTTTTCGCCACCAAGCTAGACCCGGGGCTCCCTGGGGTGCGTAACTGCTCTGTGATCGGTCTGTCCCGCAGGGCGAGCGTGAGCCTGGGAGATGGCAGTGATGGAAATGGCCTGCCCAGGCGCTCCTGGCGCGGCGGTCGGGCAGAAGAAGGAGCTCGCCAAGGCCAAGGAGAAGACCCAGGCCGCGGGGAAGAACCAGAGCTCCGTCAGCAAGCCCGAGGCCGTGGAGAAGAGCCCCGTGTTCTGCGGGAAGTGGGAGATCCTGAATGACGTGATTACCAAAGGCACAGCCAAGGAAGGCTCCAAGGGGGGGCCAGCCGCCATCTCCATCATCGCCCAGGCCGAATGTAAGGGGCCCGGGCTGGGGGGCGTTGCCGAGGTGGGTGGGCCTGCAGGGGGCTGCGGTCCTTGTGCGAGGGTGGATGGCGCAGGTGAGGTTCAGGGTCCCCCATGGAGGAGGGAGAGCAGAGTGACTACGCGATATGGTTCTCACGAGACACGGCGGGGGGGCTAAGCCAGGAGCGCGCGGGAAGCAGAGCTCTAGCGATCATGAGCGGCGAGGCCTAAGAAGGGAAAGGTGGCGAATGGGGGCTTTTGCCCATTGTAACCAGCACAGAGAAGAGAGCTGGGAGGCAGGAAATTGGGGGCTTTGCAGGTCCTGGGAACTCTCTGCCGGGTCATCAAGCAGGCCCTTGGCCCTCTGCTGTGACCTTGGGCAGCCTAAGCGTCTCCGAAGAGGCCAGCGACAGGAAAGGCCAGGTCTCCTGGAAAGCCCCTCTGGGGCTCCATTCTCTTCCACCTCCGGGGGGCCGTGCCCCTAAGAATGAGCACCTGCTCTGGGTCCTGCCCGGCAAGTGGACAGGCCACAGGCAGCTGCAGGACGAAGCCTGGCCCGGTCCTCTCTGCGTCCACTTACAGCACCTCAAAATGACTTGAACTGACGGCTGCCGCCAGAGCCTGAGAAGCGCCCGGGAGGGCTGGGTCGGGCCAGGAGTCTCCTCTCTTCCCCAGCCCATGAGGGTTCTGGGGGCAAAGACAGGCAGCTGGGGTGCCTTCGCCCACATACCCCCTTCTCGTCTTCCACTGCCTTCTGTCTGGTTCTTGAGGAGAGATAAGAGAATAAAAACTGAAATGGAGTGAGTGACGTAATGGAATAATGCACCCAGAAGCACACATATACATGTATGTGTACATATGTAATAGCTTGTATTTATTGAGCTGCTCTATGTGCCAGGCACTGTGTTGAGGATTTTGTATAGATCACCTCACTTAAGTTTCACAGTAAATGAAGTGAGGTGGCTGCCCTGTGACCCCATATCATAGGCACACCCTCTGCTCTCGACCCTTAAGCTGGGAAGGCGAGGTGAGACGGTCCCTAAGAGGAGCTGGCATGGGCGAAGAGGCAGGCCACCAGACAGAGGGAGGTCTTCCCCGGGCGCGGGTCGGGGCGGCCCGAGAGGGCGTCTGTAGAACGCCTCTCTCCTAAGTGCTGAATTCCCGTTCCTTCTCTCCTCCCTTCTGCTTGTCCACCCCCTTTCTCTTCCCTTCAAAGGTGAGAATAGCCAAGAGTTCAGCCCCACCTTTTCAGAGCGGATTTTCATCGCTGGGTCGAAACAGTACAGGTAAGGAGGTGAGCTCGCGCGGGACCCAGAGCGCTGAGCCAGCGTCCGCCCGCCCCCAGCCGCTCGCCCAGCCGCTCCCCAGTGACCCCTGGCTCCCTCCTTCAGCACCTGTGGCGCAGCGCTTGGAAGCCGCCCAGGCTTTCCTGGCTGAGCTGCTCTCTCAGCCAAATAAGCTTTTCGAAAGCCTTGCACAGTGTGTGGATGACGCCTCTGGGTCACATCGGCTTGACATTTTATTTTTATTCTCCTCGGAGCCCTTGCTGCTCCCCCTCGTTTCCCATCAATTAGGGAGGGTGCTGGGAACACGAGTCACTTTTTCACTGGCGTGTGACCATAAGTGCAGGCCTGGGGGGCCCCTCGAACTGTGGGAGAAACCTACCCTGTCTCTTCTCCTGTGAGACCCACCCTGGGAGGAACATGCGTTTGCAAACAGGGGGGATGGACAGGCTCACGGCTCCGTGGCCGCAAAGGCAGGAGGCCAGGCGAGGCCCAGCCTGTTCCCAGGCTCCTGTCCCCAGCAATGACTTTCAGCAACTGAAAGTTGAACCTGGAAACAACTTCCTCATCTACCACGAGGCGGACTTTTCTATCTTTGGAATTTGGAAACTGCCAGTCATTCAAAAAGTTGTGGGAGGGCTGCTACCCTTGAACCCTGAAATGCTCAGTGTTTGGTCAAATTCCTTACACTACCCCTGATGCCTTTCACCCAGGGCAGGGGGTCTCTGATGGACCACTTCTTTCAGCTGCCTGAGAGAAGGGCATAGGCCTCTAGCAGCCGCCCAGGACCGGGGAGGGCCTGTCTCCTCTGTGGAGGCAGAAGATGAGGCCATGGGAGGGGGGCGGGTGAGGCTGAGGCCGGGTCCGGCCGGGGTAAGAGCCAAGTGAGGTCCCTGGTGGTGGGGAGCCTCAGGCCATCAGAGAAGGCAAGGCTCCCCTGGTTCCCGGTCACCAGCCCAGGCAAGAGGCCTTTGTTCCTGTGGCTCCTCACATTCCTATGGCCGCCAGGTATCAGAGGTGACCGACCTCAACTGTCCCTTCTTCTGGAGGTGGCAGAAACAAACTCTTGTCACTTAGAGCTAAGAATGCCACCATGGAGTGTGACTCTCTGAGTCCCTTTCGGGACCTGCAGGGGCAGCCCAGCTTGGAGCACAGGGGTGGGTGTATGTGTCCAGGAGAGCAGCGTGCACCCTGTCACAATAGTAATATTGTCTACTGGAAGCTTCCTTAGGGGCCAGGCACTGAGGCTAGCTTTTTAGGTGAGCTGTTTCTTTAAAACTCTGCACCTACATGGCAGAAAATACTACACCCATTTTATAAATGAGAAAACGGAGGTTCCCGGGGTTTTAGGAGCGTTCGCATGTTCCCACTGGCACCAAGTAAGCTGGGATTTGTCTATGGCTCTGACCCCAGTTACCTGAGCGGTTGTGTCTTCCCGCCTCCTCACTCTCAAAGCGCACATCTGCCCCCTTTTTGACAGCCAGTCTGAGAGCCTGGATCAGATCCCCAACAATGTGGCCCACGCAACCGAGGGCAAAATGGCCCGTGTGTGCTGGAAGGGGAAGCGTCGCAGCAAAGCCCGGAAGAAACGCAAGAAGAAGAGCTCAAAGTCCCTGGCTCCGGCGGGGGTGGCCTTGGCCAGACCCCTGCCCAGGACCCCCGAGCAGGAGAGCTGCACAGTCCCTGTGCAGGTGAGACCCACCGTCATCCCCCGCCCCGGACCCTGGGGCCTTAGGGACAGCACCTGGGCCCTGGCCCGGGGCCTGTGTCCTAACCCCTGTGCTTTCCCGCAGGAGGACGAGTCCCCACTCGGCACCCCGTATATTAGAAGTGCCCCCCAGTTCACCAAGCCTCTGAAGGAGCCAGGCCTTGGCCAACTCTGTTTTAAGAAACTCGGGGAGGGGTTACGCCCAGCACTGCCTCGATCGGAACTCCACAAACTGATCAGCCCCTTGCAATGTCTAAACCACGTGTGGAAACTGCACCACCCCCAGGATGTAGGCCCCCTGCCCCAGCCCGCTCACCCCTTCCCCTACGGCAGACTTCCCCACCCCTTCCCGTTCCACCCCCTGCAGCCCTGGAAACCTCACGCCCTGGAGTCCTTCTTCCTGAGCAAACTGGCCTGTGTAGATAGCCCCCAGCCCCTGCCTGGCCCCCCACTGGGCAAACTGGCCTGTGTGGACAATCAGAAGCCCCTGCTGGGCCCTCCCCCAGAGCCCAGTTGCCCGCCTCATGGCACTCCTGAGAAGTTTTCTGTGGAGGAGTACCTGGTGCACGCTCTGCAGGGTAGCGTGAGCTCCGGCCAGCCCCACAGCCTGGCCAGCCTGGCCAAGACGTGGACAGCGCGGGGCCCCAGGCCCCAGGAGCCCAGCCCCAAAACTGAGGACAGCGAAGGGGTCCTGCTAACGGAGGTAAGTGACCCTCCGAACACGTGGACACATACCACCACGTCCTAGGTCGACGGCAGCAGCTGGGAATCAGGGTGGGGGGGGCCGCTGTGGGAGAAGGGGCCTCGCTGGAAGCCCGCCAGGCCCGCTGTCAAGTTCCCACCCTGTAGGGGGATAATTTTCTCTCTTTATCAAAATCACTCATGCGTGTGATTAAAAAAATGAAATCATAGCGAATTACTTCTTGTGGATGAAAAGCAGTAACCCCCGCACTCAACCTCTGGGCTCACTCTTCTGTCTTTTTAGCCATTTCTATTTTTAGTTCTGTTTGGTTATACTTCATTACTGCTGAAGCGTCTGTGTGTTATATAAATAATACATATGCTGAGAAGCAGGAGTAAGCAAACGTCAACCTCCGAGCCTAGCCAGTGACCCCAATACGAAACGTGAGGCTTTTGCCCCTCTGCACTACTCCCTTCTTTCCCCTTTTTTCTCTAGTTCTCTTACTAGATAATTTTGTAACTTTAAGGGATTTCACACACTTATATTTCTGGGCTTTTTTCCATCCATCTTTGACATTGTCCCTTGGCACCTGCCCCCTTCACTGTCCTTCCCTTCTTCGACCTTTTAGCCACTGAGTTACATTTTTTCATTGTCAGGGTTGTTGAGAATTCCATCTCTGTCCCACACCCACAAGCCTGGGAGGGTTTTCAGCAGGAGGGCCATCTTCCCTCGGGCAGCGCAAGGCCCTCTCCACCTTCGCCTCATCCCCATAAGCCCCTCTGGGTCCCGCCCTCCCAGCCCCCGCTCAGGGCGGTGTCTGGGGTTGTGCGGGCTCAGCCCCCGCGGCCTGGCAAGAACAGCCTTCCCAACTGTAACTGCGCGTCCCTCTGAGGCCTCAGCCGCTGAGACTGGCCTTTCTCCTGCCAACTCCAGAAACTGAAGCCAGTGGATTACGAGTACCGAGAGGAGGTCCACTGGGCCACGCGCCAGCCCTGCCTGGGCAGAGGCTCCTTCGGCGAGGTGCACAGGATGGAGGACAAGCAGACGGGCTTCCAGTGTGCCGTCAAAAAGGTATGCAAAAAAAAACAAAACAAAAAAACACATGCCCGAGCTCCAGGAGCTGGAGCAGGAAGCCAGGGGGCCTGTCGCTCTCCCTCTGCTCTCCTTCAAGGACGGTCACAGGGTGGCCATGAGTCTAACTGGGTAGTGGAGCCTGGCTGTCCCAGCAGCCCCCGGGGCCGTTTCAATCACGCATCCCAGCCCGGGAGCTGCACTTGGCAGGTGCGTACGTGAGAGGGAATCTGAGAGTGTGTGTGCCACCTGGGCCACCCCGGATGCTGCGCCAGGGGCTAGTAAACCTGGAAGGTGGGCGGATCGTTATTCGTGTGGGGCCGAAACCCCTACCCACGTAGTGGCCCCTCCACACCTGGACCAGAAGGTAATCGCAAGAGCAAGAGCCTCTGCTGAGCAGGTGCCTCTTGGCGGAGGCCGTGCGTGTGGGGAGCCTGATGTGGCCTGCGTTCGGACTCTGCCTGCTCTCGCCCAGGAGCAATAGCTCATGGGAAACAGACATCAGGAGGCAGTGAGACATAGCAAGAGACCCAGGTTTGTCTGACTGGAGCCCACCTTTGAACCACCTTTCAGGGAAGGAGGGGAGAAGGACTTGTGCTCCTAGGATTTCGCTTAGAGGCAGAGGCGTGAATCACCTCTCCACTCCCTCGTCTGCCCGATATTAGAACTGGGGACCAGAGGGAGTCCTGCGCCTTTTGCCCAGAGCCACACAGCTGGGCCTGGGGCTGAGGCCCCCCTTGTCAAGTCACACACGGGCCCACCAGCCGCACACCCGCAAACCGGGAGGGCGTGGCCACCTTGTCTCCTCCCTCTGACTCTCAGCTCGCCCTGCCTGGGAGCCACCTTTTCCCTGGCCCCAGGCCAGCATCCAGGACCTCCAAGGCCAGAAACCAGAAACCCTTTTGTGGGCCATCTCCTGGGCCTGTTGGCAAGGCAGAATAAACCAGCTCAGAGAAGGACCTTGCTTTCAAGTGGCTTTTGTCAAAGGTCTTCTGATCGCCAAGTGGAAAGGGACCTAATAGCCAGACCGGGCCTTGTGCAGAGTCAGGGCATCTCGACAAGTAGGTGCCTGCAGCTTTAAGGGGTGAAGACAGATTTTGATGTTAATAAACCTGGCTTCCTGGCTTGTACAGGGGCCAAGGTGTTAGAGTTCTAGAGTTTGAGCCTCAGGGTGATAGGACGAGAGAGGGGACTATCCGTAGGTATTACCCCAAACTTCAGACATACTGTGTCAAATAATCAAGCTCCACCCTCGTCGACCCCCACTGACTAAAACATGTGCGGAGTTCTTGCCAGCCTGGGTCATCTTCCACTGGGATGCCAAGGCCACGTGCCTGACCTCCTCAGCCACAGCTCCCTCCCCAGGCCACCGGAGAAGGCTCAGCTGTCCCCGAAGAGAGGCGGTGGGAGGAGAGCAGAGGGTGCGAAGTGCCCTGGCGATGAATGGCCAGTTCTGGGGAGCTTAGTCACCGGGCTTCTCAGCTGTTCTCCTGCTAAAGTTCTCAGAGTCCCAGGCAACAAGGTAAACAACCCTAATATAGTAGAAGAGGACAAATACTCCATTTCTCACCTCCCCAAGGCAGCCAGGAAAGCTCCAAGCGCTACCCTGACTTCCCCCCACCAGCCCCGCGCTTCCGCTTCTGCTGGGGCTCGCCAGAGCGTCCACTCCTGGAGCTCCCCTGCTGCCCACGGTCTCAGCGGGACGGCCTGTGGGCAGCCACACAGCTGCCCTTGGCTGCGCAAGCGGCCCCTCCTTTCCATGTTCTCCGGGGAGGGGGTAGGGCAGGCAGTGAGGTCCTTCGGGATATTTGGCTGGAAGACCCAAGAAACAGTCCCCTGCTGAGGGGGTAGGATGGGGGGAGGGATCAGAGGTCAGGCTGCACGAGGGTCAGAGCAAGTCTGCATGCCCTTCAGTGCTCCTTGGGGAGCACCCAGCACACGGCCCAGACCGCACTTCCTTGGTCCTCTAGAGCGTCCATGGCCCCGAGCTAGATGCTGACTGGTCACAAGTCCAGGGTTTAATGTAGAGTTTTTGTCTTTTGTTTTTTAAGGTTTTGTTTGCTCTTTCAATTGCAAATAAATACAGGCTCATTATAAAAGAATTCAAATGATACCCAAAAAGCAAAAGTCTCCCTGTTCCCCAGTCCCATTCTTTGATATAAATCTTGTTAGGCTTGTTATATATATATATATAAACATGTAGCTGTTTCCTTTATTAAAGTGAGATCGCACCCTACAGGTTATTCTGTACCATGTTTTTTTTCATATAAAAGGATATCATGGACAGATTTCCTTACTGGTACGTACGCATTGCGCTAGTGCTTTTTACCAACCAATGTAGAAGTTCTCATCCTAGTCAGTGGGTGAATTCACAGGATCCATGAACTCCTGGAACTTTATTCTAAAGTGCATGTGCGCGCATCTGTGTGTCTGTGCGTGTGGCATGTATGGACACATACATATTTTTGGTGGGGAAGGGTCTGTGTCATTTATCAGATTTTTAAAGGAGCCTATGGCGCAAAGAGGGTTAAGAACTGTTCACCTGAGAACATCTGGCTCAAGCACAGAGTTCTGGGAGTCTCCTTTTGACTCTGCCACTGATCCGGGATAGTGTGGCCTTAGCCAATTAAAGCCAGCTGTCCCAAAGCACCTGCTCTGAGGAGATAATATCACCTTACAGGCTATTGTAGGATGTAAATAAACAATGATCCTGGCATGTGCTAAGTGTGCATTAAACATTAGTTCTCATTAACATCCTTATCACAGTCCAGCCCCTCACCTTCCAGATGAGGACACTGAAGTCCAGAGAGGGTAGGCGGGCCAGAGGGGCAGTGGACTGGGCTACATGGCCCCCGTGTCCTCCCCACGGCCTCGCTCGCTCAGGACTTCCCTTTCGGCTCCGTTCCCTGAGCTGGCACAGATTTCCAAAGCAGCTTGTGTTTTGAAGGGTCTCCTTCAACCCCCTTGGTTGGATGAGTGGCAACATTTTTAGCACTGCTGGACCACTCTAGAGGACTTAGGGATCTCTTGAAAGTGAAAGCAGAGGTTCCCAAACTTTCCTGGTTCCCAGCTCATAATGGCTCTTAATTTTTCCATGGTGCCCCAGGCCATAACAAGGACCTAACAGTTCCATGTATTAAGTAATTAGGTCAAATAATGTCTTTATCCTAACAACTTAGTAGCCGTTTGAATCACACACAATACTACACATAAGTTGAACGCAAATTTTTTCTTCTGTTCTTAAACAACCATAATTACCAATGGGACGTCCTCCTTCTGGGGACCATGCCACTTCTCGAACTTCGAAATCAGACTGGACACCATCACCACCTTTGTTTCCTGCTCCACATGCTTTGCCTGAAGTATTTATCACCATCACCTCCAAAACCCTAGTTTCCTAAAGCTAGATCATCAGAAAGGAGGCTGCCTGGTCTAGCGTTGAAAGTGAACTACCTCGCACGAGCAGTTTCCACCGTGCCCTGCAGATGCACGTCATTGCTGTTATTTCAAAAGTGAAAATATCCTGACGTGCCCTTCTGAGTTCTCTGTGATGCCCCAAGGTGCTTTGGCTAACAGTTCGGGAGCAGTTAAGGTTACAGACATTTGCTAATACAAGTCCCATTGGTAAACTAGTTCCAATTCAGGTTCAGAGCTGGAAACACTGACAGAGAGTCAAAGTTCATGCGAATTGATTAACAAAACCAGATATTCTTTACATAACCAGAAGAGAGACATTTTCCACTGATAGGTGAAAGTCCCAAAACCCCACATCGCGGAGCTCCTGTTTGCCAAGTCAGCAGCTCTCCATAGAAAACTGCCCAGTCCTGACTAATTTCTTCCAGGCTGATTTTGCTACCACTGGCGCCCCCTGGTGGTACCGCTTAAGGCGAACATGAGAATCCCGGGCAGCCAAGGGAGAACAAGTCTATTTAGGAAGTCTAAGCATTTGATAAGCTGCTCTTATTTGAGTTGGGGGGAGGAGGTGGGAAGCTAGCGCCCGCTGGCTGCCAGGCCGGGTGGCTGGTTATCATCCCTTCAAATCTTCACTCTGCCCAGGAGCAGATGCCACTGCCCCCGCCTTTCACTTACAGAAACGCATAGCTTAGGGGAACTGATCTACTTTTAGAAGTGGCTCAGCCGGGGTCTCAGCCCAGGATGTTGGTATCCAGGGTCTGTTTCTTCCTGCCGCACCGCACGGGTCGCTGCAAAAGGGAACGGGTATTCTTGGGCCTGCCAATGCACAGCGGGAAAGTCCGTGGCCAAACCCCTCCCTAGGAGCCTGTCCTGTGCCCAGATGCTGGGGAAACAGCTGCAAACAGAATAAACAGGACTGCGCCGTCTACGTGGACGTCTTGGTCCCCAAAGGAAAAAGACAATCATAAGAGAAGAGTGCCGAGGACCCTGAGGCATTTTCAGAGTCAGAATCTTGGCAGCACCCACGCTGGCGTTAGATAAGTCAGAAACCCAGCATCTGAGGAGTGGTGTGGGTGCTGATGAACGAGACATCCTGTGGCCTAGAAATGCCCAGACACTCGTGTTGGAGGAAGAAAAATCCTGTGTTTGGCAGATTTGAGGGCGGGCAGCATGCCAGGAGCCTGGATAAGGACTTCAGGTCTTTGTGTTTTTGTACAGGCCAGCCCTGCAGAACTTTAATCAAGTCCTGGGAGTTGCCCCTGGCCCCAAGTGTGCACAGTTTAGCCTCTGAGGGTCCTGTAGGCCCACCAGGGCCTCGCCTGGCCTCAGAATCATCACGGGGAACACCCGCAGTCTCTGTGCAGGATGACAGGGAGCCAGCCCTGGCCCCTCACCCTGACTCGCGGCCACCTCTGGGCCCTTCCAGGTGCGAGTTGATATGTTTCGGGCAGAGGAGCTGACGTCATGTGCAGGACTGACTTCGCCCAGGATTGTCCCTTTGTACGGAGCAGTGAAGGAGGGTCCTTGGGTCAACATCTTCATGGAACTGCTGGAAGGTGAGGAGCTAGGTCCCACTCTTTCTCCCTCAAAATTCAGAGCCAAGGTTTCCCCCAGTCTTGCCCACGTTGACCTCGGTCCCCAGTCAATCCGTTTTTAACCTCTTGACCCTGTGACATTGGCAGGAAAGGCCTGCTTTTCTACCACCCACCCTTCCGGGGACCCTGCTCTTGGCTTGGAGGCCTGGAAGAGCCCCCTGTAAAGACTGGCCTTTGGTCTCCTAGGTGGGTCCCTGGGTCAGCTCATAAAGCAGAAGGGCTGTCTGCCGGAGGACCGAGCCCTCTACTACCTGGGCCAGGCCCTGGAAGGGCTGGAATACCTCCACGCCCGCAGGATTCTGCACGGCGATGTCAAAGGTGAGGCTCTGGTCCCTGGCGGGCTGCGCCCTCTCCCCGTCCTGCCCGATCTCCTGGGCCTCTCCGGTCACCTCCAGGGGCAGGGCCCGAGTCAGGCTGGCAGGGCTGTGCCAGTGGGGAGGGGACGTGTTCTCTCAGCCCGCAGCCTGGCACTGCAGTTCCAGTGGGTGGCACCCACAGAAAACTACAGATCGAGCCCCTGCCCACTGGTGACCCCTGGGGGAGGGCGGGGGCAGCTTGAGTGTCAGCGTCCCCAGGAGTAAACTGCTTCTGCGCCATCGCTCTTGGAACTCCTGCCTGCCGCCTGCCTCGAGCCCGAGCTGACACCCTCCCCCCGTCCTCCCTGACTAATAAAACTAATCAGAAGCAGCAGCTGCCCTGCAGGGTCAGCCAGAGAATTGTCTTACTGGAGGTCCAGCTTGGGCCGGGGCCCGTGGTGACTCACCTGTTCCTCTTCTTCCCTGGGGTGGCCTGGCAGCTGACAACGTGCTCCTGTCCAATGATGGGAGCCGTGCAGCCCTCTGTGACTTTGGCCATGCTGTGTGCCTTCGACCCGACGGCCTGGGGAATTCCTTGCTCACAGGTAGGCAGCTGCCCCCCGCCTCTCCCCATGATTATGACAGCCAGCAGCCTTAGCAAGCATTAGCCCTGTGCCTGCTCCTGTACCGTCCACAGCGGCAATCAGAGATGTGAGCACTCTGTGTCTGCCAATATACTTCAGCCCCGCACCACCCTGGGGTAGCATATAAGGCTCTTGTTGTCAGTGATGCCGGTCAGCTGCTCATTCCTGATGTTCCTGTCGCACAGAGAAGGCCGGAGAGGCTACACTCCCACCCTAGGTCCCGGGGCCTCTCCTGGGGGCTTCCGGGCTCCATCCCTCTCGTCCAGCCTTTGGAGGCGAGCCACGCTCCCAGCCTGTGACCTCGGCCTTCCGCACGCTGAGAGCCCAGTTTCGGGGGGCACAAAGGCCTGGGCTTTGTAGCTGGAGAAATATCTGGTTTTAACTTAGATTTTTCTGATGATTAAAATAATCCACACCCATTGTAAGATATTTGGCAACTACCGAGTTAAGTGGTATAGAAGGGAAGGAAAAAAAGACTTCTCACCATTCCTCTTGCCCAAGAGAAAATCATGAATATTTTACATAATTCCTTCGGGATCTTTTTGTTTTCTGTGCATAGCGAAGGCCATTATAACCCAATTTTGTGCCCTGCTTTTTTTATTTATAGCATTAAACATAAAATGATTTCATTAAGATTAAAGAAAAAAACCCCTTTCAGAAGTGATTGTTTGTTGTTAAAGGGCTGTGATGCTGGTTCTGAAGATGTCGGTCAAATGTGGATGCCTGCCCTCCACTTTAAAATGCCTCGTGTTTTTCTTATTACACAAATAATTTTTCTAATATATTTGCAGAAAGTAGAGCTAAGCAAAAATAAAAACTATAGATCACCAGAAAAAAAATACTGTTTACACCTGGTATCAATCTTCTAGTCTTTTATGCACATAAGTTTTCTATTATTTTCTTTCACTTACTAAAATTTCAGGAACGCGATCCCATTAATTAGTCTTCTCCAACCAATTTTCAAAGTCCAGGCCCCTCCCCAGTTTTACAAAGCACTTCAGGGGTTAGGTCCGAAGGGCAGAGTCCATATTTGGAGGACGTATGCTTTGCACCAGTCCCCAGCAGGACCCCTGACTCAGCTCGTCCCCAGCAGGTTTGAGATGGAGGCTTTATCTCTACTTAACGCACTTTGACAGAGACAAATTCAAGGCATCTCAGGAAGGGACTAGGGCGGGCGTTGCCGAAACTCTTGCCTGTCAGAGGCCGCGGCTGATTTTCTTGTGTCCTCGCCTCCGCAGGGGACTACATCCCCGGCACAGAGACCCACATGGCCCCAGAGGTGGTCATGGGCAAGCCCTGTGACACCAAGGTGGACGTGTGGAGCAGCTGCTGCATGATGCTACATATGCTCAACGGCTGCCACCCTTGGACCCAGTACTTCCGAGGGCCGCTCTGCCTCAAGGTCAGTGGCAGCACCCGCGACGGCCAGGAGGAAAGGCCAGCCGGGCCCCGGGGCCCCGGCTGCAGGCTTGAGGTGGCCTTGCATTTTAGCTGCTCTTCAGTGGCAGGTGGGAGCGGGGAAGAGGAAGAGGCCTCATCATACACATGGGATCCTGGCTGAAATACGTGCCCCCCAAATCTGAGGGCCCAAGGGGAGATCCTGGGTGAGGGGCCTCCTTGAGTTCCTCGTGGGCCTGGCCCCGGGACACCTCTGCCTGCCTCCTGACAGGCTGGGCCTGGAGGCCCTGGGCGTCCTGCCGCCTGGCCCCGGCCTGTCCTGCCTGGGCCCTTTCTCCCTTCTCTTGGAAGAGGCCCAGCCCACACTGTCCCCCCGGCCCTCCAGTCTGGTGACCAACCCCAGCCCCGCGGGGGTGGAGAGAGCCAGAGAAGCAAGGACAGAAACCGGGTGCTGGGAGGCGAGGGGAGGCAGGCCTCATGTGTTGCCCTCTGACCCCTAGATTGCCAGTGAGCCTCCGCCCGTGAGGGAGATCCCTCCTTCCTGCGCCCCCCTCACCGCCCAGGCCCTCGAGGAGGGGCTGAGGAAAGAGCCCGTCCGCCGTGCGTCGGCGGTGGAGCTGTGGCGGAAGGTCAGCCTGGCGCTGCAGCACGGTAAGAGCCCTGCGCCGGCGGGAGGGGCCGCAAGGCCGCGTAGTGGTCAGGAGCAGGGCAGTCCACCTGCCAAGTCTCGGTTTCCCACGTAGAGCATGGCGGTGACGCCAGCGTCGGACTCGCTGGCAAGACTGAGGCGATGTGAATGAAAGTGCGTCATCCTGTGCAGAGGGGGAACGGGGTCATACCGAAAGGGGGCTCCAGCTCATAGTAAGCAGAGAATGTGCAACAAAGCCAGCCGTCACGCTTCAGCCATTTGATCAGGGAAAGTCGGTAGCACCGAGTGTCGGCCGGGACATGGGACAGGAGCCCTCCGGCTCTGCTGGGAGCGCCTGGCAGCACCCAGGCAGCCATTGGCAGCCCCATGAGCCACGCTCCACCCAGGGGGCCGCCCAAGGACTTCTCACCAGATCCACGAGGGGACACGCTGGGACACACGCTGTAGCCTTGTTTGCGGGAGGGGAGCGGGGGTGGTGGGGGACCCTCCCTGGGGGAGCAGAGAGGCCGAGGATGGGGGATGCCCCACGGAGCACCACGCAGCGGTTGCAGCAACTCCCCGGTCACAGGGCAGCCTGGCTGGCCACCCCCACAGTGCGGGGTGGAAAGAGGCCCCGTGGAGCGAGGCCTGCAGCACAGTGCCTTTTTTTTTTTTTTAATTAAAAAAATAAATAGAAACAAGAAACACTTTGCAAGAACAAGATCAAACCCAAAATGACACATTGAATGTAATGCAATGCTACCTGAGGGGTAGGCGGGGGAATGAAGAGGGAATAAATACAACAGGAGAGACACCTGCGTAGTCCCGCCTGCAAACATAAGCAGAAGTTAAAAGGATGACCCGGCGCTGTCTGCCCCCATCAGGAAGCCTGACCGGAGAGGGGGCAGTGAGGGAGGCCGAGGGTCAAGGGGGCTGGTTTAGCTGGGAGCTCTTAGTTGGTGCTACCCCAGAGTGGTTTTTAAATCTTCTCAACTATGAATAGTAACAAAGTCCTTCTCTGGAACCAATTCTGTCACTTTTAAATTTGCTTCTGTTACCCAGGGGGAAAATGGAATAAAAACCAGAAATACTGTCCTGTTCCCATTATAGGAGGCCATCTAGCAGAAGAGGCCTCCTCTGGAGACCATACGCCGCCCTCCTAAAGCGTGTCCCTTAGTGAGGCAAGAGTCCTCCCTCGCTGCGCAGGAAGGTCCCCGGCCCAGCCGGGGCTGTGCCGGCCCGTGTCCACCTCACCTTCTGTGCTCTCTGTTTCCTAGTGGGAGGCCTGAAGAGCCCTTGGAGGGGAGAATATAAAGAGCCAAGACATCCGCCGTCACACCAAGTCCATCCGCCACCAAGCCCAGCCCACCCTCACCAGACCCTCCCAGCCCTGCCCAGGGAGCTGTCCCCAGGGACGCTGGGGCCCCAGCCAGCCGAGGACACCCCAGGCGGGGCCCCCAAGCTCCAACCTCCTCTACCTCCAGACCCCCCAGAGCGAAACAAGTGTCCAAGCCTGAACTGGGGCAAGGAGGAGTCTGGGATGTGGGAACCCTTGCCTCTGTCCTCCCTGGACCCAGCCCCCACGAAAAACCCCAGCTCGCCAGAACGGAAGGCGACCTTCCCCGAGCAGGAACTGCAGCAGCTGGAAATAGGTACGGGCGCTATGGCCCCTGGGCCCCACCACGACCTGGGCCTCCTCCTCTTTCCAGCCAGCGTGGGTTCTCCTTCTAGCTCCTTCCCCAGAGATCGGCTCCTACAGTCCGTGCGGAAAGAGCCCTGACGACGCAGCCAGGCCCTTCCCAGCTGTTCACACCCACCTCCTGCTTTCTTCTGCAGAGCTGTTTCTGAATAGCCTGTCGCAGCCGTTTTCTCTGGAGGAACAGGAGCAGATTCTCTCGTGCCTCAGCGTCGACAGCTTCTCCTTGTCAGATGACAGTGAAAAGGTGAGTCAGCCATGCACCAGGCGCCAGGGCACGGAGCGGGTGGCTTCATGTCCAGCTGGTGAAAGGGCTGTGTGCATGGAGTGGGTAAAGAAGGGAGGTGGTGGGATCACCATTCCTCCCGGGGGCGTCCTCACTGGGGCAGGGAGTTCGGGTTTCTCAGAGTGAGGCCATCTCCTGCACACCCAGGAGAGAAGGAATGGCTCGGCTTCCGGGGGTGGTGGGGGGAGAGTCTTGGGAACACTCCCACAGGAACACTCCCCACCTTCTGCCAGCCCAGGGGGCCCCAAGACCTCAGCTCCCCGCTTAGCCCCACAAGTGTCCAGTGGAGCCATGCACCAGCCTAGACAAGAGCACCAGACAAGAGCAGTTCCTCACCGCAGGGGAGGGCCCAGGGCCCCTTGCCCCAAAGCAGACCAAAGCCCAAGCCCAGGGCCTGAGTCCATGCCCACCTGTGTTGTTCCAGAACCCATCGAAGGCCTCTCAGAGCTCGCGGGACACCCTGAGCTCCGGCGTGCACTCGTGGAGCAGCCAGGCCGAGGCGCGCAGCTCCAGCTGGAACATGGTGCTGGCCCGGGGCCGGCCCACCGACACGCCAAGCTATTTCAACGGTACAGTCCAACCCCCACCTGCTCCACAGCCCCCAGCCCCTGCTCCACGGGGGACTAGGTAGCCCGAGAGGCTCCTGTCTCCCTTCCTCTGGCACAGGGGAAGGGAGAGGAAGGCATCTGGAAGCCAGAACTTGAAGCACCTGGCCATTGGGTCAGTTTAGAGCAAAGGCCCCAACAACCCTTGCCCGGCGGGGCAGAGGGACCATGCCCCTCGAGGGCTGCCGCTGGTCTCAGAAGTCGGAAGTCAAGAGTCTTGGCCTGCAGTCAAGAAACTGAGCGATGAGTATCTTCTGAAGGGACAAGGAAGAACAGGGCCCCACGAGCATTTAAATTAGGAACTTAGCCACAAGTTTGCTGGAATCCTTCTCTGGGATTTGAAGTCAGAATTGGAGAGAAGAACATACATAGAACCTAGTTTCCAAGCTTGGTTGCATAAGTTATGTTGTGATTTCAAGAGAACAAGGGTTTCGTCAGCTCGCAGTTCCTTGGCCCTCCCTGGGGCCAGTGTGACTCATGGTCTCAAGCCTGCACCGACAGGCCAGAGGCCGCGCCAGCTCAGGAAACATCACAGCCTCAGTTGCCTGCCGTCTAATTTAGGAATCTTTGCTTCCAGTTCCTTTCTGCTTTGTGTGCATGCTGGGGCACTACTTCCCCATAGAAGCCAACCTTAGCTCTTTGCTCTGTGCAGGCCAGATTCTGGTGTTGGCAGAAAATGGCCGGGAAGAGCTAGCAGGTGTTTAACCTTAACCTAAGACTAAGTATCACCTGTGCAGCGTCCTCACAGCCAACCCACTTCCCTCTGCTCAGGGCACCTGGAGCGCCAGCAGCCACTTTCCTGACAGTCCCCTTGCTTGCCTTCTAGGTGTGAAAGTACAAATACAGTCCCTCAATGGCGAGCACCTACACATCCGGGAGTTCCATCGGGTCAAGGTGGGAGACATCGCAACTGGCATCAGCAGCCAGGTAAGGGGCAGGGACACGCTTAGGAACAGAGTCCCGGAAGCCAGTGCACCTTGTGCAGTCCAACTAGAGGAATAAGTAGAAATGGCCCCGTAGAGACTAGTTGGCCTCAAATGCCCCCCGGGGCTCAGAGCAAGACTGGCAGTGGTAACTGAGGGGTTCTCAGGGCCCACACTTGGACCAGGCAAAAGGCAGGTAGCGCCCTCGGGGCAGCCTGCGTGGCTGGAGGGAGTCATGTCTCCGCGCTGTACTTCCAGGGAGCTTCTGAGCCCCAAGCCACTGTCTCAGGCCCCCTGCTTTCCTTTGCCCCAGATCCCAGCTGCAGCCTTCAGCTTGGTGACCAAGGACGGGCAGCCTGTGCGCTATGACATGGAGGTGCCAGACTCGGGCATCGACCTGCAGTGCACCCTGGCCCCAGACGGCAGCTTCGCCTGGAGCTGGAGGGTCAAGCACGGCCAGCTGGAGAACAGAGCCTAACCCCGTCTTCTGCCGCCGGCTCCACGCAGCCAGAAGCAGCCGTCCTTCTCGGTGCCCAGTGCTGCCACTGAGACACAGGCTCGGGCTGCTCCCAGGGACCTCAGCAGTGGGACCAGGGAGAAAGTGGGCACCAGCAAAATGTCTCCCGGGATTTCCCACCCATGTCCTGCTTGACCCACCAAGAGAACACCCTGTGCCCACGTGAGGAGGAGGAAGAAGAAGGCAGGAGGCCTCTTCCCACGGGGAACAGAGAGGGTCTTCTCTGCCGTGGTCCAAAGAGCCTGGCCTGACCCCTTTGCATCGGTGACCACTTACTGGCAGTCAGAGGAGAGAGGTCCAGCCCAGGTCGGGGAGGGGCGAGCGAGCCCCTCGGCCCCAGGCAGGAGTGAGGGGTCGAGTGTCTAAAGACCCACACCCCAGTCCAGGACAGGGCCAGGCAGCGGTGTGCCCACCCTGGGTAAACCGGGGGCCTTCTGACCCCCTTTGCAGCCTTGCCTGGCCGTCGACCCCTCTTAGACCTAGAAGCCCTTCAGGCAGAGCCAGGGAGGTAGGGACGCCTGACGCTGGGAAGCCTCCGTGGGAGGACACACCACGTTTTTCATGGCGTTGTCACACAGGTCCTGTGCTGGGCTCGGCATCAGCAAAGGACCGAAGAAGGTGTTTCAGTGATATGGTTCTCGGTCCCCAAAGACACGCCCCTTCGCTGCTGGCCCCCCGTCTTCCGCAGCGCAGCAGGCGCTGCGCCCCAGCTGCAGGCCCAGCACCGCCTGGCTAGCTGGTACTCGGTTCCCTCGTCTGGGGAAGTGAAGGGCGAGTAATGTGAGGCTGTCCCGACAGGCGCCCCTCAGAGGACAGGGCGGGATCAACAGAAGGGAAGAGGCAGGTGCGGGCGCCACGGTCACCCGAGCCACGGCTTTCAGCGTCTTGCACACCAGCCCCCCAAGCCACAGTACAGGCGTGTGCCCTCACTGACCCCCTGCCCCTGGTCACAGGGGCGCTGCCAGCTGCACTTTGCACTCTGATGACCTCAAAGCACTTTCCTGCCTGCCCTCCAGAAGGGCAGGTCAGTGGTTCCGCATGAGCACAAGCAGACGAGGAGATGGGGCGAAGGGACTCAAGTCTCGACCTGTCTCCACGCATGTGACCCTTTCAAATGTCCAAATCTCTTTTAAGATGAGCCCCCCTCCCCAATTTCTCTCTATTGCCTCAGTCCAGCCTTTTGGGGGAGGGGACAGAAGCTGATTGAGACTCATGTAGCATTAATCAACTGTGAATCATTGGGGGTTGGGGGACCTGCTAGATTCCTCCTTGGGAGAAGCTTGTCCCCATGACTTGCCAAGGTGCCTTCTGTCCAGCTGTCCCCATGGAGCCATACCGCTCCCCAGGGAGAGGCCCCGGCCCCCCCACACAGGAAGAACTGCAGCCTTGGCACTGCAGGGTTTGCGTTGTAAAGACCTCCGTAAGCAATAAAGTTTGGGGTAAAGGAACATATCCGGACCGTGGCTGTCTCCGCTCTCTCCTGCCTTCTGCCGAAACTCAGACCCCAGGAGCTGCTTCCCTTGGCCTTCATGGTGGGCCCTTGTCAAGTCTGCCCCTTGTTTGGGGCACTGGCAGTTTTCAACTCTTGATTGGGGCTGCTTTTCCTGCCATCCCTCCCAGTGGGTGCTTCCAGCCCCACCTCTGAGCTATCCATTCAGACCAGCTAGGCAAGATGCCCCACCTGGTGGCAGCAGGGATGTCCCTGCCGGACACTGCCAGGCAGAGGGGAGGAACACGTCCAAGAGAAGGCCTGGGCACTGACCAGGTCTGGACAGGGGGGCGCACTGCGCGCCCAGAAAAGGCCTGCACCACCCACCGCTGGAGCACCTGAGGCCAGGCTTCCGCCAGACAGACCTGGGAAGGGGCCTGGACTCCCTGCCCTCCCCGCCACCTCCCGAATGCCTGCATGTAGTCAGAAATGGCTTCTCATTGTGGGTACCTTGGTCACGGGACAGGGGCCTGTCAGGGTGGGTGCCACCAGCTCACGGGGTGCCTGTCTTCGTCTGGCTCCACAGCCCCTGAAGCCGCGCACAAGTGTGTGTGTGTGCGCGTGCACACCTTGGGGTAAAGGCCGAAGGTTCAGTGGGTCCTTGGAGGGGCCCTGGGTACACGGAAAGGGCAGCGGCCTGTGCCAGGGCGCCCAGAGCAGGTGCAAGGGCCAGCCCGGAAGAGGCCAGGCTTGGCCTCGCCGTCCTACGCCTGCTGCGGAGGAGCGAGCGCCGCCCGAGGTCTCCGGAGAGGCGCTCTGGCTGCCGAGCCAGGTGCGGCCGCCTTCCGCGGAGGTCGCCCCCAGAGGCCGCTCCTACCCACGCGCCGGAAATCCTGAGCGCTGTTCCCGGCCCGCGGGACTCGCTGCCGAGACGTCACAGAGCCGGCGACATCACAGACGCGGGCGTCCCCCACATCTCCACCGCCTCCCACTGTCCCCAACCAAAGAGCATACTGGAGGCGGAGGGGCACCAGCCACCACCCTTTTCCCCACTGCCGGGACACAGCCTCCTCGGTCAGCATGGGGGTGACAGGTGGGAGCGGGCGGGCGCTCGGCGGGGAGGGACGACAGGGCCGGACCGGGCGGAGAAATGTGAACGTGAGGGGGCGGGGCGCGGAGGGAGCAGGGTGCTGGCCTCGGGCCCGGCGCCTGAGGAAAGGTGACCCCCAGTCAGAGCCCTCGCCATCCCCGACCATCTCCGCCGGGGGCAGCTGCTGCCCCAACCCCCACACCCAGCCTCGGCCCTACGCGGTGCACGAGCGCGCATGTGCACGGGCACGGGGCGCACCTTGGGATTAAGGCCGCCGATACAGAGGGTTTTTGCCCAGCGGTTCTGGGCACACCTAAACAGCCGTGGGCTTGTGCTTGGGAAACGACTCACGAATTACCCAAACCGCAGATAACCGCTAAAATGACTCCAGTTGTCCCTGGCTGAGGCTTGGAACTTTTGCAGAAAGCAAAACTCAATCCACTTCAACAAATGTTTAATGAGCACCAAGGAAGAAAGATGTTTACCCCTCAGGGCCCTGGGTCTCCCCGGTTTCTAATAATGGGGTCTCATCCCCAGCGCAATGAGGACCTTCTCTCCCAGGAAGACATAGACCAGCATTTATAAAAAATGGACGAATAATCAACAACCAGAGAGCAGCTGATCCCCTTTCCCAGATTTTTGGGATAACAAATTTATGCAACATTTACTGAACCTCCTTCAGGGCTTATTCTTATGCCAGCTAGGCCCTGGGTCAGATGAGTTGACTAAAAGTTAGAATGTAGGTCAGCAAAAGCGCCTGCCCCCCGGGCCCACCCCCGGCGCCACCCCAGGCGCCTGGGACTAAGGAGAGCCAGGAAGAGGCGTTGCTGCAGCCTCCTTATCTGCAGCGCCTGACCCTTCCCAGCGCACAACACCGCCTCCGCTGGGAGACGCACAGAACAGGTGGGATTGAGCCCCAGCTGAGCAGAGGACTCGCTCTTGAGCTCTCCCGGCCCACTCCACCTGAGGAAGAGAGGTGGGTTGGCCCCAAGTGAAAAGCACAGTGCGTATATCCAACTTGCACTGTCCCCTGACCAGCAATGACTTATACCGGATATTTTCCAAGCATGGCAAAGTTGTGAAAGTTACTATAATGAAAGATAAAGACACCAGGAAGAGTAAAGGTGTTGCATTTATTTTGATTTTGGATGAAGACTGCACAAAATTGTACCAGGGCAATAAACAACAAACAGCTGTTTGCTAGAGTGTTACAAGCAAGCATAGCCATTGGCAATGGAAGAGCAGCTGACTTCATCCAAAGACAAACTACTCTGATAAATCTAAGCGTTATGAAGGTGGGTGAAGAAATAGAATAAAGTGAAGATGAAGGGGAAGACTTGGCCAGGCCACAGCTTTCCAGCGGGCCACAACTGAAGAGCAAACGAAATGGAAGCCCCTCTCAGGAGCTCCCTGAAGACACCCAAGGATAAAGAAAAGCACCATAAGGGCTGAATGTGCGTAAAGCACTCAGCACTGAGTGTCAGCAGGTAGTAAGGCCGGGGTTTGTGTTGGCTTTGGTGTCAGGACGGGAGGAGAGCGGCAGTAGGAGTCGGGGAGGGGTCGTGCGCAGCCAGCGCTGCAGTAGGAAGAGCAGAAGCTGGAGGAGCGAGGCGGGGCACACGTGGCCCAGGTTTCTCATTTGGGTGAGAGGATGAAGGATGAATCAGGGAGAGGGATTATAAAGAGATGAGAGATTGCAAAGGAAGAGTGTCGGACGCGCAAAACCGCATCAGCCGTGCTCGTGTGAGTGCACAGGGTGTGAACCCGAGATAAGAAGTGGAGGATAAACCGCAGGGTTTGGCAGGGTGAGAAGGGGAAGGAATTCATTTCTTTGCACAGACTGTTGCTGAGCGTCACCTTGTGCCAGACTCTGTGCAGGGCATCAGAGATGCAAAGCGAGTGACCCCCATGCCCTCCCCACCTCTAACTGAGGATGCGCAAAAGGCCGCACACGCAGATGGAGGTGTGCAGGGGCCGGGTGGGGTGACTAGAAAAGGAGCCCCTAGCCCAGGGCCGTGAGGTGGAGTCTGGAAGGAAGGGCTGCAGGAAGGGGTGAGCCCTGAGCATCTTCACAGTAGGACACAAGGTGGGAATTCCAGAGCGGGGACAGCTCCAGCTCCGCTCCGACCGGAGCCTCTCCTCCTCCTCCCTTCCCCTCTCTCTCAACCCCTTTCCCTTCCCCTCTCTCTCTAAAAGCGACGGAAAACTGTCCTCAGGTGAGGGGGGAAAAAGAGTTTAAATGGAAAATTTTATGTTATATATATTTACCACAATAACAAAAAAGAAATAGATAGGCCGGAGTATCCCTGTATCAATTTTTGAAAGTTGAGTTTGTAATTAACCTTCTCCATGGAAACTCCAAGCCCAGGTTCACAAGCTTCACGTGTGAATTCTACCAAACAGAAAGAGAAAAAGAATTCCAATTTTACACAAACTCAGGAAATTGAAAAAGGACTACTTCTCAACTCATTCTATGAGGCCAGCATTACTTTTCTATCAAAACCTGACAAAGACATTACAAGAAAAGAAAATTACACACTAGAATACCTCATGAACATATATATGAAAATTCTAAAAAGAAAAAAGAAAAATAGTTAGCAATCAAATTCAACAATGTATAAAAAAACCTAATGAGCTTTATTCCAGGAATGTAAGGTTGACTTAACATTTTTTAAAAAATCAATGTATTTTACCATAAAAATACTTAACAGAGTAACATGTAACTACTCATGTTATATATGACATAATATGTGAACAGAATATAAAAACCATATAATCATCTCAGTAATGCGGAAAAACCAAAAATCCAACATCCCTTCCTAATTTAAAACTAAATAAACTAGGAATAGAAGGGAACTTTGTCAACCCAATAAAAGTCATCTCTGAGAAAAATGACCATTGACATCACGCTTGATGGTGACAATACTGAATGCTTTCCCACGGAGCTCAGGAGCAACGCACAATGTCTACCCTCCGCTCTATTCAACATTGTACTGGAGATTGTTCAATAAGGCAAGAAAAGGAAATAGACAGACATCCAGATTGGAAAGGAAGAAGTAAGACTGTCTTGAGTCACACGCATTACTGTTTATGTGGAAAACCTTCTGGAATCTATAAAAAAATAAATAAAACTAGAACAGGATTTCAGGACAGTTGTAAGATACAAGATCAATACATTTCTATATTCTAACAACCAGAAATTGGAAATTGAAGTTATCTCACATACTACAGCATGTCCCAGAAGCCCCAAGTTTCGTCAGCCACAGACTTTGGCTTCCAAGCCCCAGTGCCGTTGTGAGGTTCACACCATAACTATTTCTCCTCCTGCCCACACCCACTTGCTGTTCATAGGAGGGTTAAGGCTGCGGATGTTGATTCAATTGCCAGGGAAACTCTGTAAACAAGCAAGGAAGGCTGTGAGGTCAGAAGCCTGGGGAGGAGCAGCACTTGGTGGGGTTGGAGATGAAGAGGCAGGTGGGGAGACAGCCAAGGGAGCGCAGTAGCCGCGGTCATCGGTCGCTGAGGAGACGGAGGCTTCTGAAGAGACGGCTGCCTGTCCCTGGTGGCGCACAGACTCCTAGCCCAGCAACCCGCCGATCCAGAGACCCAAGGCTGAACACGGACGCGCCCAACCCCGGCCCCAGGGCCAGCCATGCAAGGACCCTCCTCAGCTTCCACGTCCCTAGGAGGAGGCCACAGCACATTCCGATCCTTCTGATATAATCCTGGGAGCAAGTCTTCTCAGCCAGAGCCAAGGCTGTCACTTCCTGCCACGCTCCAGGCTCATGAGGACCCAGCGTGCTCACTGCCATGATAACCTTGCTATCAACCTCTGTCTACTCCCCTGGAGAGCAAAGAATGGGACAGCCTGGTGCCTCCCACCCCTCACCCCTGGACATGCAAGATACAAGCCTCCAGGGAGGGACCTAGGGTGGGAGGGGCCTCCTCTGCGGAGGGTTATCCAGGCCCATAACTCACCAGATCCGTGTCAGCATCACCCCAGAGCAAGCGCCTGGGGAGAGAATGCTGGCTGACCCCAGGGTGATGGGGTGAGAAGCCAGAGAAAGAGAGGGTGGACTTCAGGATGCGAGGGGCCGGAGTGAGTGGCAGATCTGAAGTCTGGCCAGAGAAAGCGGAGGAGGGGACAGAGGAGCAGGAATGGAGGGAGATGAGCAAGGTTCATGTGGGCACAGCAGGGAACCCCACACAGTTCCAGGCTCCTCGATAGGACGGCTCGCGGGGCAGGGCAGTTCCATCTCCTGAGTCCGAACTGCGTTCCAATGCTGACTTCCTGAATGATCCCTGAAGGATCTCAGGCGGATGAACCTCTTGTGTTGAATCCATGAGATAAAGCACAGAAAGTGCTCAACACAATGCCTGGGTTAGTGATAATAAGTGGAAGTACTGTTGGCACTCACCCGGAATGGGGGGGCCAGAGTGGAGCAGCGTGGAAAGCGGCGGGGAGCAGACGTGAAGGACAGGACTGGTAACGCTGGCTAGGGAGAGGGGGCACATGAGGGCTGACATGGGAGAGGGAAGGGGGGCGGGGGGGGAGCTGAAGCATCACCACCAGCCCAGCTTCAGAGCCCCTCAGGGATCAGTGCCCGCCTGCCGCTCCTCTGCCCTCACCTCCTCTCTCTGCCAGGTGCCAATGGATTTCCCTGCTGTACCAAGGACTCGGTGGACATTATAGACACACAGTGAGAACCAGTCCCCCATCATCAGAGGAGCTCTCCCCCACCTTCCAGGACCACCAGCCCTTACCCCCTGCCACCGCTGCCAAGTTTCCATATCCCCCCCAACCCAGGATCTCCCTCCATCCTGCCTGTTTTCAAAATCCCCCCAAGGGGAGTATCCAGGCCAAAAGACCATGGCGGGGGCAAGGGGTGCCACCCTCTCTGGCTTCTGCCCTCCGTCACCGGCCTTGGAGGAAGACTGAGGGGTAGAGGGGCACACCCGGGGACATGGGTGGGACCTGACCCCGTAGGTCCACCTTGCTGTAAGGACAGCACCATCCAAGCTGGGGGTGAGCAGGTTCCTAAGGAAGGCGAGGGGGCCACATGGCGAGGACTTGAAGGCAAGGACCAAGTTGCCAGCGCACTGCCGACAAAAACTGAGGGACCCTTCCACGCACGCACACGCCCCCCACACACAGCCCTCCTCTTTTCACATCTGCTGAGCAGGCTGGGATGCGGGGTGGGCAGTGCTCTGGGCTCTTCCTTCTGCAAGGAGCCGCTTTCTGGGCGCTGGTGGTGCAGGTGAGCTGCAGCGAGTCACTGGGATGCTCGATGGAAATGCAGGTTCCTGGGCCTGGCCTCCAGCCAACTGGATCCCTCCTCGCAGGGGGAGGGGTGCGCCTTGGCAAGCTCTCCCTGCGTTTCCCAACTCACTGAAGTTTGAGAACACAGCTCTAGAACTTTGGGTGGGAATGGGGACAGCAGAGAAGCTGGGGGCGTCTTGCCGGCCCCTGTCTAAGGCAGGAGGCCTTGTGGGCCCCGGAGACCCCCCTGCCCCCTGAAGTCAACATGACAGCCCCGTGGAGCCCTGACACCCACTGTCTCCTTCTGTCTTAGGATTGACATAGGCCGACACCAGCTCCAGCTGACACAAAAGGAAGATGAGACAGAGGTAATGGTGGAGGGCCGCCTCTTGTGGGGAGGTGGTAGGCAAGGGGCAGGGTTCTCGGAGGCCAGGCCCACCTTCCCTAAATTCTGACCAGCCCCTACTCTTGACAATTCTGGGGCCCTAGTACCAGGCCAGCATTGGCATGCTCGCACACTCTCTCTCTCACACACACACAGACGCGCACTCACGCACGCGCGCTCACACCGCCTTCCTGCCCCAGGCAGGTCTCTGCAAAGAGGCAAGTGTGGGGAATTGGGGGGTAGATACAGGGGCAGCAGGGCAGGGAACTGGTGCTAGGGAGGGCCTGAGGGGCAGGGGCGCCTCAGCTTTCAGCAGCAACTTTTCAGCTGGAGGACGAATCGGTAGAGCTGGAGTCCCCACACGACGTCAACCTGGAACTGGAGACAGCAGCGGAGGACAAGGCTGTGCCACCGCTGGAGTGGTGCCTGGCCCCCACACTCAAGTCCGAGGCCACGCTGGTCTCCAACCCGGAGGCCTGCAGTGCAGGTGCAGACCCGGAGGAGCAGACCTACAGGATCGAGCCCGTCCACCCCTACACGGACGAGCCGGTGCCACGGGACGCCTGCCAGTGGAGCATCAGGTCGAACTCCAGCTACCCGAGTCACATGGAGGAGGAGCAAGCGTCTGCCACCCATCACTCCATCCGCGTGCAGACCTCCAAGCACCTCTTCTGGGCGGACAAGCACATCCAGGCCTCCGAACAGGGCCTGCAGTGGGAGGCCAGCAGGCAGCCTGGCCAGGAGAGCACAGCCCAGCCCGCCAGCTGCCCGAACCAGAAGTCGGTCCCCAAGGACACCCTGGGCTCCGAGAAGCCCCTCAGGAACCCCAGCCCCCAGCCGGAGCTTTCGGACACTGGCTCCGGGCAGCCACCGGACACCCACCCGCCCTCCTCCGAGCTCGCAACGGCCATCAGCCTAGAAGATCTGGTCAACTTCGCAACTTCCCTGGCCATCGCCTCCTCCAGCAAGGCGGGCCTGCCCAGTTTGGGGCAAATGATGAAAGCTCCCCACGCAAAGGCCGCGGAGCCTGCACCCGCGCCCATGATGGAGAATGCCACTCGGCCTGCCAAGGAGGAGCCAGAGCAGGAAAGGCTCTCTAAGTTGCTAGAGAAGCCACCAGAGAAACTGCTGGAAGCCGGGGAGCCAAAGAAGGCTTGCAAGCAGAAAGACCAGAAGTTCCTTCCCCCTTACCTGGACTGCAGCAGGCTGGCGCCCTACAGGGCTATCATTGAAGGGAAAGTGAAGTTTCTGCAGACGCCAGCCATGTCCTCTCCACCGGCAGAAGACAGGAAAGAGTAAGTGAGAAGGGCACGCAGCTCCCCGCAAGAGGAGGCTGTGCTAGGACACGTGGGCGGGGAACCGCTGAGTGAGGGGCTGGGCGGTGGTTGGAGTGGGCTCTGATGTCTCAACCTCGGTGACCTCATAAAGGCTGATGGAAACAAGGTTCCGGTGGACTGAGGTGCAGCGCCAGGGCCAGGGCCGGAGGTCGCCTGGGGACCATGGAGAGTGAGCGCTCCCAGGGCGCAGGCAGGGACCTGGGTTCAAACTGGGGAGGGCCAGTCTAGCCTCACCCAGAGGACGGACAGCCTCTCCCTCGCTGGAAATGCCCCCGCGAGCGACTGCCCTGCTGAGAACCGGATGGTATCAGCCCTGGGCTCAGGACACCTTCGAGTGGCAAAAGAGGGGACGGCCCTCCAGCTCCCCTTGCTTCCCAGGGACAAATGACCAGGACAGAACGTTAGCTGCCCATCCATGTGCCGCAGGAATAGGTCCTCTTACCCATCACCCTCCTCAGCGTTGGCTCTGGGCACATCCCTCTCCCCTGACCCTCCCATCGGGGCCCAAGTGACACTCTCTCTTTTGCATTGCAGCTCGGTGCCAGGAACCAAGAAAGGGAGCCCATTATTGCTGAAAATCCATTTTAAGCTGTCGCCCCCCTCTCCCCCAGAGAAGTGACTAAACAAAACCAATAAAGCCTCCAATGCCGGCCCCCCGCTCAGACGTTTGGTGCAGATGCTCCTGGGCCAGTGAGCTGGCCTGGCGGCGGAGTCCTGGTCACAATTTTTTAGGAAGGCCCCCCATTTTTTAGCTACCCCGGCCCCACCTGCCCCCGAGGGCCGCACCAGCCCTCTCTGTTCCACTTCACGCGCACCTGTCCAGGCACCCACACCGCACCAGGGACTCAAGGCCCGCCTCGGGGAAGACTCGGTGCCCTGCCGGAGGCTGCATTTCTTAGGTTATAAAACAGGGCTTCCTGGGCCGGAAGCCAGGGACACGCTGGGGTCATCTGAGGAGAGAAGCTCCCGGGGGTGGGGCTGGGCAGGCCAGAGGGCGAGTCTGACGGGAGTTTTTCTCCCTGCTTCTCTCCATGGGGAAGGCTGGGCAGGGGGAAGGGACTGTGTGCGGGGGCTGGAAGGAGGGAAAGCATGAAGCCGAAGGGATGGCCCTCCAGGCATCCCCAGCCACGTGGCATAGTGTTTGCAACCCGGACTCCTATGCACGGACACGCACCACCGGCCGACCAGAACATCATATAGACAGGCATTCCCATAGCACATGCTCATGCAGAGCGCACTCCACCCATGCCGTGCACTCAAACACATCAACACAGGCATGTACTAAACATGCACACAAGTGCACAAGGCTCCCCAAATCAAGGGAACGTGGACAATGTGGAGAAGGTTCTGGAAGAGGAGAGAGATGGCAGCAAAGGAGGGAGGGGGATTCCGAGAGCAGGGATGGTCATGGGTGGGGAGAGAAGTCAGGCGGGGAGAGAAGGGGAGATGGCACCCTGGCCGGCTCGAGACCCCCGCCTGGGCCCAGGCTCCCGGTCCAGTGAAAGCCCAGGCCTGCGGAGCCTGGAGAGCCGGGCCGCCTTGACGGGGGCTGGGAAGGGAGGTACCCCGGGTCTGGGAGAGTGGAAGGAGGGAAGGGGTGGTCAGGTAAGAATGGGCTGGGCGCCACAGGAAGAAGGGGCAGCAGGCTGGACGGAGGGAAGAGAGGGACACGTGGAGGTGAGTGTCCAGGGAGGGGCTGGGCCAGAGCTGTCATTCAGCTGTGGGGACCAGGCTTCCTAGGCTATTCCTTTCATGTGGTCCGTGAATTTGCATACTTTGGAGAAGGAGACCCTTTCCTCCCAGGGCAGCTGCGGTAAGACAGGCCACAGCCCCACCTCCGGCCACACCCCACACCCCCGCCCCGTGCCCTGACTTCAAGACCCTGGGGCTTGCAGCTTTCTCCTCTGGACCTATGCCTCCTGCGTTAGCTTCCAGGGCACAGGTGCAAACTCAGGTGCCTTAAGAGGGTCAGAAACTCAAAAGAGTAAAGCAGCAGGTTGCCCAGCAGAGAGGAGCATACCTATGGCAAGAGAGAGGGCGCCCCTGACAAAAGACATTAAAATCCACCTCAAAGCCACCCCGGGAGCTTCGGGCCTGGGGCATTGGGCCAGCCCCAGAGCCTGTGGCTCTGCCTTTCAGGTAGCAGAGAGAAGACCAAGAGGCCCCTGTCGGCACCGAGGATGTGCAGGTGACTAGGACTAGGGGAAGGTCCACTACTACTACAGGCTACTGTGCTCAGAACCCCCTGGATAGAGGACCTCGGGTGCACACGGCTGGTGGGGGGGGTCCTGGGAGGAGGTGGAGCAATGCACCCACAGGCCTGGTCCTGGGTCCCCTGGAGTCCCAGCAATTTCGTCGGGAATATCTCCTCCCCGCCTCCAAGGCCTCCACAGAAGCCTCGAAGGCTGTTCATGCGAGACCCAGGAGGGAGCCCGGCCGGCAGGACACAGAACGGGAGGCTGCAGCAGCACACAGCCCTGCTGACCCAGATAGAGCCAGCAGCTGCCACGGCCATGGGGACTGAGCAGGCCTCACGGAAGGCCAAGGAGTTCCAAGGCCCAGCTGCAACCCGTTCAGCAGAGTCAGGCTCAGGCGCTGGGTCTCAGAGGTGAGGGCAGGGCCCAGGGGCCAGGTGTGGGGCGCTGGTTTGGGGTCAGGTCTGCCTGGCCCTGGCGCCTCTCTGCAGCATGTGTCAAGGCCCTTCCATCCTCTTTCTCTGAGGCAGCTTTGCAGACAAGAACCTGCTGCCGTTGACACCCCAGCAGGTGTCAGGTGAGGGCCTTGTGGCTGGGGGCAGGGAGAAAAATGAGGGGTGCTCAGAGTAGAACTCCAAGGGGGTTGCCTGCCCAGAGACTGGGATCACCGAGAAAAACAGCGATTGTGCTGGAACCTTCCCTCCGTGTCAGCCTGATATGCTCATCGATACAACCCCAGGGTTCACGGGCGCATGTGTGTGTGTGGTGTGAAGGATGAAGGGAAGGACGGACTGGTGATTAGGAAGGTATTTGAATGGTAGATGGATGGATGGATGGAGGAACAGGATGGAAGATGGAAGGGAAAGGACTATTGGGGGAAACGATGGAAAAGAAGAACCTGAGTCCCCTACACCCGTTTGGTCTGGGGCTATGGCAGTTGGGGTAGAAGAAACCCCTTTGACATTTGGGGACCCCAGTGCCCCGTAAAGATCATGCCTTGATATTGGCAGAGGTCCTGCAAAGCAGAATCATTTTATTCATCGATGAGTTCCTGTCCCCGGGCTGGTGCGGCTCAGTGGATTGAATGCCAGCCCGCAAACCCAAAGGTCGCTGGTTCGATTCCCAGTCAGAGCACATGCCTGGGTCGTGGGCCAGGTCCCCCGTTGGGGACATGCAAGAGGCAACCGATAGACGTATCTCTTGCACATTGATGTTTCTCTCACTCTCTTTCTCCCTCCCTTCCCCCTTTCTAAAAATAAATAAAATCTTTTAAAAATAATTTTCTGTGCCTGCTATGTGGCAGGTGCCAGTAGGGCTCCTTGAGCCTCAAAGCATTTTTGCTCCAGAGCCAGACTGTCGGAGTACAAAGCCCAGCATTGCCCCTGCTGATGGTGTGACTTTGGACATGAGTTTTGAATGTTTTCCATACAAACATGTCCAAATGTGAGTTTTGGCCAAGAGAGTTGAATGGGCACTAAACAGCTGTCAATACACAGCAGCCACTGTTCTTTATATTAAAAGTTATAATGCCCACGGGGTTGAAATGACCCAAGTCCTCAGTCCCATCTGAGCTGGAGGGACAGATTTCAGGGTTCTTACATGTGCAGTTCGCCTGGCTGCCCACCCCTCTTCCCACCTGCAGCATTCTGGGAAATCTTCAGACTGTTCAGCTCCAGTCCTACCGGCACTGTGGACGTGCGCAGCATCAAAGCCACCCTGTGCGCCGCTGGTATCCAGCTTAGCCCACAGGGGATGCGTAAGGCTCTGCAGCAGGCAGGCGTGGATGGTGGGTACCCCATTCTCTGGCCCCTCACCCTCTGCCACCTCTCGCCCTCAAGAACTCCTCCCTTGCCCACACAATCCCTAGCCTGGTCCTATTTTAAAGTCTCCTCTTCCAGGAAGTCTGCCCTGGTCTATATGCCCATCCCATAACCTATAGACATTTCTGCTGTGTCAATCCTCATCCTGACCTGGGACTTCCCTAGGGCAAGGACTATTTCTCTGCGGTCACCATGGCCTCCCCTTTTTCTGCCAGGGTTGCCACTTGGCTAGAGGCACGACTGGCTTCTCTAACACCTGGAACTTCTGGCAAGCCCCTAATGCTTACGTGGGGGTGTCCCTGGCAGGGGCAGGCACCCACAGCACCCCCTCCTCTCTTTTTCCAGGTGATGGATCTGTGGGTTTCAAAGACTTCCTGGGTGTCTTCACTGACAGCCATCGCCTCACACAGTGCTCAGTGGCAGGGCAGGTAGGATGGGATGGGCCTGGCTCGAGGGAGGCTCCTCCTCACCCACCCCCGTGCTCTTTGACACCAGGCCAGGTGAGAAACAGCCAAGTCTGTGACCCCTGAGGCCTGCAGACCGTCTTCTTACAGAGGCTGTGCAAGCTGCTGAGGCAGGGTTCTGTGCCCTACAAGTCAGAGCAGGAGGTGAAGAGCTGGGCACAGCTGTATCCAGCTTCAGGGCCCAGGACGGTGGGAAGCAGCCTCTGCTCCGTTCGGGGGTCCCCTGATGTTCCTACCCCAGAGACTGGAGCCCTGAATTCTGGGTCAGTTTCCTGGGCCCCAACCAGCCCCGGGCCAAACACGAGTGGCATCCTGCCCTGCTTGGGTTCCCCACCTGTGAGATGGGGGCAGGGGCGGGGGGAGTGAGTGGTGGAGACTGCGTCTGAGGCGGCTGCCTACTTCTCTCCTCCAAGCTGCTACTCCAAGAAGCAGCGGGCTCTGCCGCTGACCCCAGGCTGCAAGGGCAGATCCCGGGTCCGAGGCTGCACTGAGAGGAGTCACCACGGCCTCAACTTTTTCTGACAGGCCGCGCGGCTCAGCGGCCTTTGTAACGCCCAGCTGGCAAGCTTGTTGCACAGACCGCACAAAGCGGGTGTGCCCCTTGGTGGGGCTGGGGGCACCCGCGGGAGTAGGAGGCACTCACTCAGGCCCCGCTCTCAGGACCGGCCCCTCCTTTCTCTCCTACTGACTTCCGCACCCCAGGTTCGTGCAGCCCCTACTCGCAGATACCTAACCTGGTTCCGAGCTCCGAACTCCGATTTCCCAAGTCTTACAGCTCCAGCTCCCCCAGGCTCAGGACTAACCAGGGACAGCGCAGCCGCAGCCGAGGTGAAAACGCTGGGCAGGGGACCCCCGGAGCTGCGTGGTGGGGGGTGTGGATGATTGGAGGATTGGGAGGAGGGGCCGGAGGGGGCGGGGCCGGGCCATGCCGGGGGTGGAGCAGGAAGATAGGGGCGGTACCCAGGTAAGAAATGGGACGGGTAGGTACAGGATGGGGTAGGCACAAAGGCGGACTGAGGGGGCGCTAATCCAGCGTCTCTAACCCTAATAACTGGCTGGACCCTCCATGCCCCCCTCCACCTCCCGCAGGGTCCTCGGGCAAACCGCTAGAGGATACCCGCCCCTCGAAGCTGGCTCCCTCCCTGACAACTCTAGTGCAAA